AAGAAATTGGAATCAGTGAAAATAATCACTCCACCATCTTTTTCTAGTAAACCATGCTGCCTGAGGATGCTGGAAGTTGTAGTTCAACACATATGAAAGGCACCAGCTTAGGGTTTAATCACTGACCATATAACCAAATATAAGGCTGAAATGAGTTAGTGGATGGTTGTTTCAGGCAATGCAAAAGTGTGTGTATGAAGTGAGAAAAGTAGAATATTATATCTGAAATACCAGTGGGTTTGATGCAGTCTTGTCCTGCTTAGAGCAGAACAACAAATCAGTGGGATTTAAGTTACCCTTGACTAGCAAATCCCATATATTTCAAAGGATTTCGATCCAGCCCAATGTAATTTGAATAATTTCTTGGTATAATTTTTGTTTTTCCCCTTTTCATCCTCTACTTTATCAAGCACTTTATTTAAAATAAGCAAGTCAAGTTTCTTAAAATTTAAAACATTTCTGCACTGGTTTCTTGTGAGAAAGAGACAAATAGCTCACCAACCTTTACATATTCCACAGCTCGAGGAGAGAAATCACAGGCATATGCAAAGATATTCAGATCTTCTTCTAAAAGTGGAAATAAACAGTTCCCAACACCACAGCCTGCTTCCAAAATTGTCAGTTTCTGATCTTCAAACTATGTGGTAGAGAAACAATCACATTTGTTACATCCTTCAAAGCAAAACAAATCTTCAGATGCAAAATAGCAACAGCATTTTTAGAATCAAAGTCCATCGTTATTCATATTTCAGTGTTAACAGTAGGCAAGCATTCAAAGAACAAAAAAAAAAGTCCACCCGCTGTGTTTTTGCACCATCAGATACATATCATTAGTGCAATCTTCAGTACGCAACAGATGCAGGTAAATTAGCATCAGGCATGCTAGAGTTCCTTGATATTAAAATGCCAGGCAAAAAATTGAACCAGATTTGTACTTCATATGAAAAATGTAGTGTTAAGGTACAAAAATTACCTTAAAAAGAGGCAAAAATTACCTTGCCAAAAAAAAGGCAAAAACTGGCTGGGGGTTGTATGACTTTTTTCTCTCTAAATATGCATATCTGTTGTGTTTTTAACTGTTTTGATGGACCTATTTTTATGTTATGTTTTAAGATTCTGACTTCAATCTGTCTTTTATCATTGTTTGCCATCTTCTTGGAAATAAATTGATTAAAATCAACAGTTATAGCCTCTTCTTTTAAACAACATAAGCTGGCATATATGGGGTTCACACTGACCTCTTTCCAAAAACTAATCAGATTAATTTTAACCTCACAATCAAGTACTCCCAAGACCAATCACCATTCTATCTTGAAAGCAACTTATTTTCCTGTCACAACTGCAGCACTGTTTCAGTGTAATACTGACTTATCCTGCAAATGCTGTAGGAATATTTTTATGTAGCCTAGTAGAAATGATACCATAAGAGTACTACATTTCTAGCTTTGAGTCAAGCATATTCATGCTACCTGATTTTGCTTCAATAAAACACCCATCTTCTTCCACATAGCACCCTCCAGATGCATTGGACTCCAAGACCTACCAACTCTAGCCAGCATGCACCCAGGCTGTGCTGACTGGGAGTGATTGGACTTGTAGTCCAGCCCAACTGGAAGGATACCTGTTGGTGAAGACTCAAATACATCATAATCATCTGAATTGCTGCATCTTTCTATGGTACTGAATGAAGCAAGGGTTATGATGTGCAACTCCCACAGAAAGTTAATGCTTTTTTATGAGCATAGGACTTCTGTGTATCAAGCAAATGAAGACATAATCAAATATTTTAACAGCTGCCACATCAAGCAGCATCATGGGAGCTATGTCTAGCTTGAAGCCAATCACTTCTGTGTATATTTTCAGGCTAGATTACATCTGCCTTGTAAAGATTAGTATGGTCTTCCAGCTCAAAAATATTTCTGCAACACCTCTAAGTTGCCCCCTGCTGCCATAACAAATGTGCAACTTACTTCACGGCAAGTTTTTAACTCTTCAAATTCCCTTGTTGTCCAGTGTCTGTCCTTGAAAAAGTTGATGCTGTTTCTTTTGTAAAATAGATCCCAGTTCTTTTGTGCCTCTTTCTCAAGTTTTGCTTGCTTGAAATCAGATACTGAGATCTGATCTTCAGCCAATTTTTTGGCTTCTTGAGGACTTAGTATTCTTGCCTTGTGTCCTATATTTTGAAATGGTGCATCTTCACAAGTAGAGATGATGACATCATGCTGAGCAACAGATGATTCACCTTGCAGAGGCCTGGATTCATTCATCTTAAGAATACTGCAGATTCAGAGTTGTTTGATTCTTAATTATCATAATTGCCTCCACTTATCAAGAACTAGACTGAAGAGGAAACAAAAGAAAGTGTCAGCATGTTGCATTCCTCTTTGAGTGTGCAACAAATAAAGAGCTCTTTGCAAAGAATAATTTCTTTTTAATGCCACCTCTAAGGTCACCTTGGGTTGGGGTGGGGGTCGACAACACTTGAATAGAACTTCAGACAAAAGAACATGCTCTGAGAACACTGCCAAACTGTTACTGGACTGAAACCTGTTAACACCTAGGGGAAACCCCGGGTGGATCCCAGACCCAAAGCCAAACAGAGCCTGAGACGAGACTTAGAGCTAATTGCAGTTTTATTCTGGTGCACTATAGAATAAACGGAAACAAAGGGGAGATGCCTCCCAAATCAGAGTCTCCAAAGAGGTACAGAGAGCATACATTATATACCCTATGTCATAACATGTTGTCCGGATACAAAGTAAATTCATTTCCCTATTACTCTTTGTTCTATTAGTTTACAGAAAACTCTTTATTTATCCAGAGACTCCCCTTTCTAATGTGTCTGTTGATTATCTCTGAATTATTCACATCCGCTCTATGTTTCTCACCTATTAGTAATTTATAATGCAATTTGTTACTTTTATTGAGGCTTCACCTGGATTCCAACCGGTCCCAGGCTCCAAAGATACTTCTCATTTACCCTCTTTGACATCCAGTCATTCTGTCCCAGGAGTTCACACAGGGTTCTCCATACCTCCCCACTCCCTCCTGGACAGGAAGTACAACAGGGCTGCAGATTTCAGGCTAAGTGGTTAGCCTAAGTGTTGTGAGAGAGTATGTTTCAGGTAACAAAAGTATAAGAAGAAACAAAGGTATTAGCACATCTCCAGAATGGATTGGCAGACAGCAACCTTTCCTCACTTGATGCCTTCCAAAAGTATTGGACTAGCACTTTCATCATCTCCAACCACCATGACCATGCTTGCTGGAGTTGATGGAACACTAAGCAAATCTACAGGACACTAGGCTGAAGAATGCTGATATAGTATTTTAAGCTTAATCCATGCCATAGACATATAGACTCAATCCTGGTTCAAACAGCAGACAAGCCACAATGATGTTCTGCAAACATAACATCACCCAGGCTGTATTTTTCCCCCATACAGCCCATGGGCTGTTCTAGGGTTGTTGGCACCCATGGTAGGTGACACCCAACAGTGAACCCCTTAATGATAATGGCAAATATTCCTTGCTGATCTTGAAAAGCAGCTGCCCCTGCTTTAGTAGCCCCAACAGCACTTGGGGCTACTATCAGAAGCTTTCCCCTGCCCCTGGAAGCATGAAACATCCATCCTTGCCAACAGCTCATAGGTATGCCTTTTAAGCCATGGGAAGGAGGAGAAGCTCTCTTCCTCTCCACCAGCAAGACAGCAAAGTAACTTCTCCTGGATCCATGAATTTGAAGACACCACAATTTCTTGCAGTCAAACTGCCTCAGAATAGCTAGTAGACATAGCTAATAAACATGCCTCTGATACTGGAGATAACATGCAGCCATCAGAACTAGTAGCATTGCCCTCCATGAATTTGTTGAATATCCTTTTAAAGCTGTCCAAATTGATGGCCATCACTATGTCTCATAGACATGAATTCGATAGTTTAACTGTGCAAAGAAGCCCTTCCTTTTCTCTGCCCTTAATCTCCCAGCATTTTGCTTCATTGGATGGCCTGGGGTTCTAGTATTATGAGAAAAGGAGAAAACTTTTCCCAGTGGATTTTCACCCAAGCTATTTATACATCTTTAAAACTTCATTTCTGTGGGAGGGGACCAACTCAGTGGCAGAGTACCTATTTTGTATACAGCATATTTCCCGACCAGCAGCCCCAGGTAGGGCTGGGAAAAACCATGGTCTGAAACCCAGTTAGCCCGTAAATCGGGGATTTGCGAGGGGAGGTTTGCCCAACAGATGCTGCTGCACCATCATTCCTCATTACTGGCTAAACCGACTAGGGTTGCTGGGAATTGCAGTCCGACAAGTCTGGAAGGCCACATGCCCCGGACGTGATATGCCCATGGTGCCAGACGGGCCTTTATGCCACGGACTGGTCACTGCTTCATAAAAAGGCGATCGTGGGGACGGAGAGAGAAAGATTTGTGGGTGGGGGTGGGGGGGTTATTCTCTCAGTAGCCGAGAACATGACTGGGAAACTAAATGTCCCAATCGCTCATTGTCCTGCCCAGGGATTCTCATGGGGCAAAAAAGAAAGGGCAAATGCCATTATCAATATGAACCGAAGCGCCTCCAACCCCCAGAAGCCTCTGCCAGCGTGGCCAAGAGTCAAATATGCCGGAAATTGTAGTCCAAAAGCCTGGCGAGCTACTTTCTTCCCAGCCCTGATATAATGGGGCCGTCAAAGTTGCCGTTTTCACCTCCTTGTTGCCCGGTGCCAGCCACCACCTACCAGCTCCCGGCCCTCGAGGCCTTCTGGTCATGTTCAGAAATAGCATTGTTCGTCTGCGGCGCCCTCATTCCCCGCTCCTCCGCACTTTTCGCTTCTCCTTCAGAGGGTTCCTCGGTCTTTCAGGCGCCACGAGCAGGGCCTCCAATGCCAACTGGCCCTCGCGGCCGGCTCCCCTTTCTGCCCCGGCGCGGAGTGCTTTGCCGGATACACCGCCGTCGCTCCGAGCCCGGAAGAGGACGCGAGCGAAGAGGCGGCAGCTGCCGGTACAACGACTGTTGTTCGCGGTCGTAGCTGCCGCTGCCGCCGCCGCGCCGCCGCCGCCGCCGAAGCGATGAACGGCGCGGCGAACCCGCTGCTGGATAAAGAGGAGCACCCACTGCAGCTGGGCGAGAGCTTCGAGCGGCACCCCAAGTCCTCCTTCCACACCATCCGCTGTGAGTGGCCGGCAGAGGCGGCGCTTCGGGACTGGAGGGGGGGAACCAGAAAAGGCCCACTTAGGCCAAACCGGGCCTCACATTTCTTTTCGGGGCCCCCGGCCTGCTAACCTCTGTCGACTCCGAAATACCCCTGATGGAGTTCTGTGCCTCTCACGGCCAGGTTAGCATGTAAAGGGTTGTTAAAGCAAGTTTGTTTGGCAGTAAGCCCAGATGAACGTAGTGGTGAGGGTTACTTTCGAGTAAACGTCCCTAGGATGGCACTTGTCAAGTGGATGAGGATTACAAAACATCTTGTTTTCTCACTTCCCCCATTTGGTTTTCACTTTACTTTTTGCTTACTTTACTGGCCTAGCTATTCTGTGCCATGGACAGCAGCTCAACACCCCAAAATTTAGCAAGGGAAGTTTCCCATTACAAGGAGATGAGTGATAGGGAAAGTTTTACCTGCTAAATGTCTAGGTGTGTAAAGCTTCTGTTCAAAGCAGAAAAACAGGATTTCAAAAAATAAAGTAAAATAAAAAATGGCAACCCTACTCTTGAAGGTGGTGGGGACAGAAAGGGCTCTCCTTTTTCTCTGCTCACAGGGCTACTAGTGCCCAGAAGGTATCTTGTTTTGTGTCTGTGAAGCATCAGATGATTGATCAGTTCCTTTCTGCTTGTTGGGTCATGGAACTAAACATGTTCATTTTCTAAGTGCTACAGAGCAAACACCACCATGAGGGGCAATTTAAAAGTCAGCAACCCTTTCTGTACTTTATCCTGGGTCAGATTTTGATTGGGCAGATTCTGCATCCATGAAGTGACAGGTTAATCATTATCATTTTTCATAGCATAGGGAGTAGGCCAGGTGTCATTAACAGGAGCCTATTAGTCTTAAAAAAACAAACAAACCCATACCTGTGCTGTTAATGATATGCTGCAGATATCAACAGTTGATAATGTTTATTTTAGAATGTTAAAAAAATCAACTGTTTCTGTGTTAAAAGGCCCAGGACTAGGCCTGATCTACATTGCTTTTGTAACTTGGTAACCCCATATGGAATTGTTAAAAGGACAGAACTGGGGTAGGGGTAGTAGCCTTGCTCTTTCATAGTGAGGAAAAAAACCTGGTAGCAGGTTCTCCCTGTTTGCAAAATAATAACAGCATAAGCTATTAACTGGGTGTCTATTAAAATAGCTAGTTTCTACTCAGCTGGGACAAACTGAGCTTGGTCCAGCTTTAGTCATAGTTGGAGTAGATCCAGTGGTATCAGAAACTTTAGATTTCAGTTGGTCTACCCGAAAGATAACTAAATTTGGATCTAACTCACTGTTTCTTGCCCAAAGCAATTAAATAGTGTTATTTCTTCTACTACTACTTCTTTTAACTTGTGATGGGTTTTTTTTTAGCACCATTGACCTGGACAAATTAAGTAGTGGAACGTTCCTAGCATATCAATGACTGATATGATGTACGGCTAAACAAAATGTTTGGTCTCCTATTTTATTATTTTATTGTACTGTTTTTTGGTTCATTACTTTCAAAATTAGAGGATTGTGCTTTTTTAAAAAGGGTGTAGAATCAAGAGGTACTTTGAAAGGGAATCTGTGGATCATAGCTAATGACACTCTCCCCCCATTCCATGGTTAAAAGGGCTTTTAATAGCACAAAAGATTCTGCTAGAGGAACTGTTTTCTTAAGCTTAGGCTATCACTTCCTATTTTGGTATCTACTCTAGTAAATTGCTCTCAAAGTTATATTGAAAAGTGATGCATAAGTCTTTTAAAATAAATAATAGTAAACCCCAAGCAGATATGTTACAAATAAATGACTATCAGGAATTGCTTAAAACTCAAAAGATACATTTAATACCAGTTGTTGTCTTCTCTAGATGACTTTAAACCAGCATCTATAGACACATCTTCTGAGGGAGAGCTTCAGGTTGGTAAAGGAGATGAAGTCACAATTACATTACCACATATTCCAGTAAGTTTACTATGTGTTAAAATGCTTATTCTATCCCTTTCCTGCATTTTGAATTATGCTTCTTATGATTTTTGTTCTGATGTTTTATCTGTGGTCAAGGAAAACACTGTAGACTTCATAAGATTTGTGAACAGTTTGTAAAAGCTGAGACTGATCTAATGGAAGATAACCCAGTTTACTTGTTCTGTATCTTGTACTATAGGGCCAAGGAGATATGTGTGTACATGAGTATGTGTGTGAGAAAGAGGAAGGGACAGAAAGAGAGATGGGTGTATAACTGCTTTAAGATGATATTCTTTGCTTCAGGCAACCCTTTCTATTGGATCTACAGCTGTGGGCCAACTCTTCAATAACCTACTATTATTTTACTAATAGATCAAATATATGTGTGCCTGAAATCCAAAATTGGAAATAATTTCTTGGACTGTATATCTCCATGCATTGAATTTAAGATAATGTACTTATTCTTACCTTTGGAAACATCCATTGGCATAGGATGTTAATGGATATCTTGATAGGATGTGGTTTGTTCAGGTGATAGTTTCACACGTAAGCTCAGCTAGAATTATATATTATCTCACTATCAGGTTATATGCTCATTTTTGTTATATACTATCTGCATTGCTTACCCCATCACAGAAGTTCAGTGTGAGAGTAACATTAAAGAGATTGAATATGCTCATGTTCTGTACATCTATAAAGGTGTTGAAGTGGGGTTCAATGATTAACTTAAATCCTATTGATTTCAGTGTACCTATTCTTTACAGTGGCTAGTTAAGATCAAACCCATAAACAAAAAATGATTGAAGCATAAAATAAATCTTGGCAATGAAAGACTGGATATGGCATTTTCATTAAGTTAGTCTTTCTTGGTTCATATGTACTTATTTAGATTTAAATGTAATCTGTACTTTTTGAACACCAGGGTTCTACTCCTCCAATGACTGTGTTCAAAGGAAATAAAAGGCCATACCAAAAGGACTGTGTACTTATTATCAATCATGATACTGGGGAATATGTGCTTGAAAAGCTAAGCAGCAGCATCCAAGTTAAGAAAACAAGGTAAACATGTAGAAAAATAGCACATGGTACAGACTTTCCTGGACTCAACTGTTTCAGACTGCAGGTAGCAGACTGTGGATAGAATCCAACTAATTTCCTTCTCCCTATAGGCCTTCATCCTAATTTCATTGCTGTGGGTCAACCTCCAAAAAGGATTTGGGGGAGCCTAAAAGAGAGAGTTGAAATTGCTGAAAGTCACATCACTTCCCATTCTGCTGATGGAGGCATTCTGTTGGCAGAGGGAGTTAGTTGAATTATTCCCCACATGTTTAAATCCTAGCCTATGTAAAACAAACAAACAAACAAACCTTCATGAACTTGAAATGCCAGCATGTTTGAGAGAAAACTAGGCTAAAACCTTTGTTCCTGGTTTGCTTGTTCAGCATATGTAGGAAGTTTTGACACATTGGGAAATGTTCAGATATGTCATCCTTCTCTCACAGTCTTAAGTGGTACAGTCTAAATAGGCTGTCATTTGTGCATATTTGAATTTGAACCATCCCATAGACAGGGTGGTTTTAAAAATTACATGAGGATGATCCATGCAATGGTAAAATTTAAAATCCTAGTGATTTCTTTGGGAGATTTGAGCAAGTGCTTAACTCTTATTTTATTAAATCAGTGAAATTTAGTGTTTAAATTTGTATTGATTGTATATTAGATTGTTGGGGAGTGTTATACAATTCTGACTGCAGGAATTAGGATTTTACAAAAACACATTGGAAAGGATCAAAGAAAATAAGGAAAAGAGAATAGCTTATTGTCTTGAATGTTATTTTATTTTTTTCAGAGCTGAAGGCAGCAGTAAAATCCAGGCTCGAATAGAGCAGCAATCTGCCAGAGCCTCGCAACCTCCTTCCACCCAGTTCAGAGCTCCTACAAAGCCAGCAACTGGTCCCAAAACCTCCCCACTGAAAGACAACCCATCACCAGAGCCACAGCTAGATGAAATTAAGAGAGGTATGAAAATCACAATGTCCTTGCATTGCTGGTTTGTAGTTTCATGTATTTATGGTATTTTTATACTGCCTACTAGCATAGTTCTCTTAGCAATTTATACAGGCTGGGATTGAATACAAGCATGTAATCAAAATAGCAGACATACATTAAAAACAACAACATAAACATATATTAACGAGAGAGAGAGAGAGAGAGAACAAAATTTGATTGCACCCTTAGTGATCAGAAGCCTCTGAACTCAGAGGTGTCAAGAATTCAGTGGCCAGTCCTGCAGTGGAGAAGAAGTGGAAGCAACCTTTATGTCCCTATTTGCCAACCCTGCAATTTTTTATAAAGGGCTTTTTAACCAACTAGTGAGAACTCTTTGGAGGGGGAGCAAAAGATGCTAGGGTGGCTTGGAATAACTCATTTCTTCCACTCTCCACCTACCTACTAGAATACCTTGTTTTCCCCCTTCAAGGTTGAGTGTGTGACATTGGAAAGGCAGCCAGTAATGTCCTTTTTTCTGCTGGCTGTGTGGGAGGGGGATCAAATCCCCAACCCTCCATTCTAAGGTCAAAATGCTGTTTCTGACCTGTCAGGGAGAAATCCTACCTATCCTAATAGTCCCTGGGACACTTGCCCAAGGGGCATAGGATATTTCAGATGTTCTTCAACCTGGGAGCTGGGCATTGGAATTTAAGCTCTCTTTCCTGTAATGGAAAGAACATCACCAGTTGCTCTCCATGGTTAGAAAAGTAACCTCAAAGAAGGGTAAAGGGGACATTCTGATGGGCAGGAGAGAGGTTGAAGAGGCTGGAATATGAGTTGGGGATCCTAATGCCTCCCCAGCTTCCTTCCTTGCCCTTCCAAAGTGCCCCAGTTAGATGGGTAAAAAAGGCTATCTAAAAAAAATGCAGGGCAGGAGGGAAAAGAAACAAAGGTTGTTTCTGCCACTCCATAGGTCAACAATAAGCCTCCAGTTTTGTGAGCTTACAGGCATTGCAGTAGGACTGCACTTAGTTGAAAATGCATAGAAACTTAAGAACTTTCAAAGGATTATGTATTATTTCTTACCCAGCAATCCTGATTTATTCATTCCTTGAGTTTTGTATTGGAAAGAATTATGGGATAATGTTAGTTTGTCAATAATAATAATAATAACAATAATAAAGTGACAGCATTCATATTATACCTTTTCTCTGCCATTCCTATTCAGCTGAAAACAAGAAGTCAGACTTGTATATCATAGGATCTATTACTGTTTTGCTGACTTCTTTAGCAATAATTCATTCCTGTGATGGTTCTAAATATCCCTTCACCGTATTTTTGCCCCCGCTCCCTCCCCTGGAAGAAGCACTTCTGAATGCTGGTATTGGCTCTGTACCAGTATTGTTACTATCTATTAATGTCAGTCAATTCATTCATTCTTTTATCAACCAGTTAATCAGCTTTTTAGCAACATGTTGGACATGGCTTTCAGTCGAAAAGGAGAAAACTATCCAAATTGTAGTAGCTTTGAGCCTTATATTTTAGAAACCTGTGAGATTAGAAAATACTGGCAGCAGATAGATTAAAATATGTTGACAAATATTTTTAAACATAAGGTATCCAAGGCAATTTACAAAGCAGCTGTACAATAATTTAATTAATGCTGACACTAAGTTCCATTTGATTCTGTGAGTTTACTTTTGAGTAGATACATATCAGATTGCACTGTTAAGTATCCTTAACACAAGATAAACAAATGTATAACTGCAGTTTAGCTGAGACAAAAGAAAATCCATCAGTGAGAGCCAGTGTGGTGTAGTGGTTAAGAGCATAGGACTGGGACTCAAACGATCTGGGTTCTAGTCCCCGCTCAGCCATGGAGCCAGCTGGGTGACTTTGAGCCAGTCACAGACCCTCAGCCCAACCTATCTCACAGGGTTGTTGTTATGGGGATAAGATGGAGGAGGAGATGTAAGCTGCCTTGAACCCTTTGTAGGAAAAAGGCAGGATATAAATCGAAAATAATAAATAAATGTTAGCCTTTGTGTCCATGAATTAAGATTCCAATAAACCTTGTTGATAATTAGTAAACACAAACTATTACTAAGTATGAAATTCTTTTGATTCTTTGTCTTGTGTTTTGTTATTTGTTATATACTAATTCTAAAAAGATGATAGGTTTTCATTTTTTATATAGGAGTGTCCTTTAAGGAAAGGACATTTTTGCCAAAAGTTTAAAAGTTATTGCAGCATTAGATATTGCTAAATTAGAAAATATCTCTTAAAATGTAAATGCTTGGTGTAGAAAACTCTCAATGAAATGCCTACGAAGTAAGAGCCTTTCCAAATAGAACTGTATAAAGAGAACAATGCTTACCACTATTGTCAAAGAATGCATATATGGTGGAATTTTTAAAATGAAAATGGCTAATTTCTTACATAGCTTTTCACCCCAAATGTCTATAGCTGGACTTTCTATTTTGCATACTCTTCCATCTCCTACTATGCATATCTAGCTCCCACAAAAAGCTGCATTTATAAGAAGACTGATGGTCCAGTCTTAGTAACATTTAAATCCCCAGAGCATTTCAGTTGAATTGATTTTTACAAAAATCAAGCTGTTAGTAAGCTTGTTGAAGTGCTCAAAGTAAAACAAAATCTGGAACTGAAGTAGATAGGAGGTATTCAATAATCATGTTCTAGAGTTCCTCAGGAATAGTCAGTATGTCAAAATCTGCAGGTACATACACTGAGCTATGTGGCATAGTAACAGAGCTAGGAAAGCAGATATACAGAAGACAGATTTGATTAAGGAATCGCCTTAGTATGGAATCCTAGAACTGTGGGCTGAAAGAGACCTTCCCTGGTCCATCTTTTTGCATTGAAGAACTACAGTGCATAATATATTTGTAGCTCAATGGATAGTCAGCCTGTCATGACCTGTTAAATCATGCATCACTTTATTGACCACCTTGCTAACCTCTTCTTATTCTAGAGCTAAGAGCTGAAGTTGAAATTATTGAGCAGATGAGTAGTAGTAGCGATAGCAGCTCGTCTGATTCAGAGAGCTCTTCGGGGAGTGATGATGAAAGTTCTAGCAGTGATGGTAATGAAGCTGCAAACCCTTCCCCTTCTCAGCAGTACAACAACAAGAACTCTATTGCCAATGGCACCAGCAGACAACAAGGAAGCAATCAACTCATGACCACACTTAGTAAGTTCAGTTTCTTCTGCATGTGCCTGTCAGATGGCATAGATTTTCTAAGTCAGCCTTTCCCAATCTGATACTCTTCAGATGTTTTGGACTTCTACTTCCATTGGCCCTAGCTAGCATGGTCAACAAATAGGAAAGCTGGAAGTTGTACTATAAAACACTTGGAGAGCACTGAATTGGGGAAGGGTAATCTTAAGCACACAGTGCGCACTAACATGTAACTGAAACCCAACATCAATTTGCAAAATGAAAAGTAGCTTAGAGAGTAGTGCAGAGATGTGGGATAGTAATGGTGCTCAGCATTTCCCCATTCATTGTCTTTCTAAATGTCTCTCTTTTAAAGTTGTTTTAATTTTTAACACTGATAGCAGCTATAGTTCATGTATTTCTGTTTCCTGCCTACTTAGCCATAACTAGTGTAGATGATTCAGTAAATTGGAGGGTCATTGTTTGAAATGAAAATGCTTCTGTAGGCTTTCCTCACCTATGTTGTAAAGAGGCTTATTCAAAAATCTCCTAATAACCCATAATGCTGGAGAAATAGAAATATCAATCCACATTTCATCTTTTTCCAGTATCTCCTGCCTTTTCAGCATGAGCAAATACTTCATAATTGCTAGCAATTAAGCTAAATTTGATGGTCTTTTCCTGCACATAGTGATTTGCATTATGGGTCTAGCTACTTAGAGAAGCACAAAACAGGTTCAGTACAAGTTTTTCCAGCTCCAAGTGAAGCTTGAGAGTGCAGCTAGTTTGTGCTGCTGTTCTGTCAGCTACAAGATTGAAAGGATTATGCCTTTTCTTTTTTCCTTTTTTCAAAGTCAGATCCAAATTTAACATGAGTCCATTAGTCAAGAAGACTTTGTGCAATTACTTTGCTGGAGAGACAGATGACTGCCACTTCTAGGCTTCTGCTGAATCCTAAGCTGAAGAATATTGGGCAAAGGAACTGCTAGAGCTGTAGTCCCAGATGTAATTTACTGGAACCAAGTCCTATTAAAAGAAACAAATTTACAGTCTAGGAATAGTGTGTTCCAAAATTGCTCTCCATTTTTCTTCTTAGCCTGTTTGAGGTCAAATAAAGCAATTCTTCAATGTAAAAACACAGTCAGAAAATAATTTCAACTTTTTGCTTTAAAAAAAACCCAGGAAATGACTTGCAACTGAGTGAATCTGGGAGTGACAGCGATGATTAGAATGAAGTTTCTCTGCTAGTTTTCCATTGCAAATGTGTGAAGATGCAGATTATGGAGCAGTAAGAACTATGCCGGTGCGGAATCTGTCTCAAAAACACAGCTGTACAAGTGCTACTTTAAAATGTGACCTATGGATGGAAAGCAACATCACATGTTCCTGAAGCAAGACTTATACTTACTGTGTGTATAAATTATGTGTGATGTGTATATTCTTTTGAAGTTTATAAATAGATGTGAACATACCAATCTAATACAGTAATCTGCATTCTTTTGTGCTGATACTTCATAAAGCATAAAGAATGATGATCTTGGTGCACTCTAATATGATTCTTGCTCTTAGGAAAGGCCCAGAAGACCTGGCAATTTAAAGCAAGTTATCTGTAGAGTAGGTGCAATCTAGGTTTACAGTTTTAAAAGCAACATAGGATATGGAGTATAAGTTTTAAAGGAAGTATTATGCTGAGATGCACAACTGCTGCTGGGATGGTTAAGCTTAAGGAAGGTTTATGAATTGTGCTCTTGTGCCTGATGACCTGTAGTGTGTAAGAGTTGCCTGCAGGCAAGTAAAAGTTTTGTAAATTGGAAGAGAGCTGGCTTTCCTTTTCTTTCTTTCAGGGTGCCTGTGTGTCACAAATGACTGATGAAGGTGTGTGTGGGCAGATAGGCTAGTAGCGCTTGTAATAATTAATGAGATTTGTGGACTTAAGAATTCTGTAACGCTTTACTGATGTCTTTACAGTTGCTGAAGGTTCACAAGATGACAAATGTTTTATTCAAATAAAAGACATAAAATGCCTTTTATTATTCCATGCGAGAAATCTCTGCAAAAGCAAAAAACAATGTAGACATCTTCTATAATCAGCAGAAACTTTTAACAAACAAGGGTGCAAAGATCCAGGTTCCCGGTGCTTAATGACTGGTGCTTGTGTTGCTGTAGAGGCCAAAAGTAGCATTCACCCCTGGTCTGGTTTTGCAAAAGATTTTGTTCCTGGGGTCCAAGTCCATGAATAACTAAAAGTATTTTCAAGTTTATACAGAAAATTGAAGAAGACTCTTCCTGTGCTATTTAATATGTGTATTTTGAAGGTCTGTCTATCTTAACATTTCATGGACAAGTATGCCTACATCTTGGTAGGGAATATAGAGAGAGATAGGGAATGCTCATGGCTTATAAAATCCAAATTACTTTTCTAGGTTAAGTGGATCTAATTTGCTGCATCTGTGTACAGGTTTATATATCATTATACAAAAATATTTTTAATTACTGATTTGTAAAATTATGGGTGAAATCCAGTTAATGCAATCTGCTTGTGCAGTGCTAGATTTTACCCAATGTTTTGTAAAACACGAATGTAAATGAGAAAGTTGGTAGCTTGCAATCAACCATCTTAGGGAAGTGTGGAGTTTCTACCAATCTCATATCTCAATTAAATATTATCAAGATGGGTTTAGTGTTCATAAGACCTTTTGAATGGATTGACTGTAAGATGTGTGTCTTAATACATTTGGTTTATTTTTCTCTTGGTCAGCAGTTTGAGTAAGAAAAAGTGATGTTCACTGTTGTTGGAGTAAAGGTGCCTTAATATTTTAGAGCTCTGTCATGTTGCATCACAGTGGATGCAAAGCACAGGCTCAGGGCTAGAAATGCCCATGTAAAATGACAAGTCATCTGTGATTTTTAGGTGCTCACCTGACTGTACTTGGGGAACGCCATGGTGCAGCATAGGAGCCAGTATAAACAAGAGGGAGGACAGAGCCATATATGGGCTCTGGTGAGGGAATCAACAGACTGAAGTAGCAAGTGTGTGTAGGAGAGATTTTAAGAAGCAAGTCAAGCGGAGCTGGATAACTTTGTCCCTCTTTCCTGAGGAAGAAAATGGCTGCAGCCATTGTTGCAGCTAAAACTGGGGACAGGCATGTGTTGTAAGTCAGTCTGTCTCTCAGATTTGATGCAAAGTTTAGGAAGAGTGATACTTGGTTGTTGAATGCTACAACTCTATTCAATAAGCTAAAGATGAGCATGATGAATTGTGTGCTTGGTTTTTCATTGTATTTGAGAGAAGAGACCTGCAAGTCATCCATATAATTTTAGTATAATTTTTAGTATGTTTCAATTGTGAAGGCTGCTTAGGGAAAACAGACAGGGCTGCATGTATTCCATGACTGTGCTCAAATTTAGACTCAGATATTTAGCACCTGAAAGAATCTTGGATTGTAACTCAATTTTTAGCTCTTTTGGCTGAAAAAAAACCTGTGTTACAAACAAACCAAAATCAGCTGCTGCTTGATGAAATCTGAGAGGGGGTACAGAATAGGTTTTTTTAAGAAGACAAGGATTTCGTGTACAAGAAGACATATAGATTAGACTAAATAAGTAAATATAGTCATATAGTTAAGGCTGCAATCCTGTGCTTGCTTTCTTGAAAATAAAGTAAACATAACTGAACTTAATGGACTTACTTCTGAGTAAGCCCTACTTCTGTATAGGTTGTGGTACACGGCACAGAATTTGGTTTATCTTGTAATGGTGCATATATACTAACCTGAAGTATTTAAAACAGGTTTACTTCAAAAGCTGGAGAAAGACAGATGCTTCCAAAGTTTGAATGACCCATGCTTTTTGCACAGGAGCTATTGTGGCTTATGAAAAAGCATTATCTTCCAGTACATGTTCCCTAACTGAGTTCAGAGGCAAGACAATTGAAACAACTGCTAACTATTTCAGTGTTGGAGGGAAAAAACATAGGAATGAGGCAGAATTCAGATGTGTAATATACTATTTTTGATGCAACTGTGCCTCAAATGTATCTCCATCATTAATCTAGACATATGTATGTTTACATTTATGTAAATATATGCAACTTGTACAATTTGTAGGTTTTTCTTTTTAAACTTTTATTTAAATAAAAATGACCTTGAACAACACAACATGTGTACTTATTTCTAATGGAAGTTTTTCTTTATCATACTAAAACTGGGGCTCACCCATTGAAATTGATTGACATTTAATTCATGACAGACAATAGGAGGTACACAACATTAACTTAGCAGCAGATCAGTTATCCCACAAAAGATTATTAAAAGTGGGGCTGTACATACACACCAAGTGCTTCCAATTTTCAGTTGATTCTATAATTCTTTTTCCAGTTTGTCCTGTCTGTTCCACTTGTCACCACCCTGTTTCTTCACCTGTGCACACACAAAGACACTTCAGTTCCTTTTAGCTACCATGTATCATTTTCCCAAAGGTCTGATATATCCCAGCCATTAGTTCCCATTAATACTACTAGGAGCTATTTAAAACAAAGATCCTTAAAAGAATGAAAAGGTCAGATGTAACACCATTTCTTTATTACATGACTATCTCACCTTTCTGCAACACGGTCCTCAAGGTAGCTAACATCATACACATTAGAAGTATTACAGAGTATAAATTAGAATGAAAACTGATTTTTTTAAAGTGTGTAAATGCAATAAAATGAGTGGCTCTTCAGATGTTGAACTACAGTTCCCATTGTCCCTGCCATACTAATTGGGGTACAGATGGGAGTTGGAATCTAAAGAGTTTCCTCTGCCTTTGCAATAAAACAGTGAAATAATGTCTAGTAAATAAAGTGGTAGAATGAAATAGCAGTTAAATAAAGGAGGGGAAGAAAAAGGTTTTTACTCATTCCTAGAAAGGCATTGGACTTTCACAGTCTTGTGGCAGCCACCAAAAAGACCCATTTCAAGTTCCCATCAAATGCATTTCGGCCTCCTCTCTCTCCAGAGATATGCTGGATCAGACCAAAGACCAGCATCCTGTTTCCACCGTGGCCAGCCAGATGCCTTTGGGAAGCCAACTGAACACAAGGGCAATAGCATCCTTCCACTTCTTAGCCAATTGTATGCATTTTAAATATGTATTGTACCTGGCCATCATGACCAGTAGCTGTTAAGTAGGCTTGTCCTCCATAAATCTGATTCCCTTTTAAATCCAGCCAACCTAGATTCCATCACCACATCCTGTAGTAATCAATTCCATCGTTTATCTATGACTGTTTTCAAGGGGTGCTTACAATTACATTTAAAAACAACCCATGTTAATGAAACAAGACAGAGGCAGTAAATAGAATAGAAACAGCAAGGTAGCAAGAATGAATGAAAGGCTCTCTTGCTTTAAAAATTGGGGGCCTCTATACCTTCCTAGGGCAAACATGGGATTTCAACAAAATAGGCCTGCCCCATTGCATGTAGCTGGAAAACTGCCTCTTGTATGGGAATGTGTCAATGAAGGTGTTGTATGGGAAGGTGTTGCTGGACCTTCCACCCTTGCACACAGTCATCCCAAAACACTGCCGCCTGAGACGAAGGTCATAGTGCCCCTTGCCTGCTTCCCCTTGTACCATGCATAAGAAGCTGACCAGACTGATAGCCAAATGTTACTCTAGTAGTGGCAAAAGACAGTGTCACCCACAGCAAATGAGGGCAGCAGATGAGCTTTGGCTGTGTTGAGTAGACTGTACTTCACAGCCCTATCCTCTTAGCACATTGCTGCCCAAGCTCCTCCCAGGCCCAGCATCTGGTACCTGAGACAGCCACCTGCCTCTGCCTAGAGGTAGGGCCTGGCACTTCCTAAAACCTGGTGGTCCGTTTACACTTTATAATACAAAGATTATGCATTTGAGCTGAAGTTGCTCCTGAAAAGCTGAGCTCCTTTGCATCTCAAGAAAGAGGATGGGAATGTATATTTTTTGCAAGTACTTTGCATGAATGACAATAGAAAGCTATGTGCATATTTTATACATAAATGACCATAGAAAGCTATGTGCATATTTTATACATAAATGACCATAGAAAGCTATGTGCATATTTTATACACAATGCATTACTAATTCTGACATTATGCAGTCATGCATTTAGAGCTATTAGGAAAATGAGTTTTGCATTAGGGAAAAAGCCCACCTGAAAAATAAATATAATCTGTAAATAAACTCTATATATGAAGGGGTGGAGAAATTAGGTTGGATGCGAATTTACTTTGTTTAAACTACTGAACAGGGAGGCTCACAGGTTACCTGGCCACAGTCTTTTATTCCTCAGTAAGATTTATTGTATTTTATTTACATGGTTCTAAACATGCATCTTGATCAGCACATGCCAATATTGTGCCAATTTGTGCTCACTTTTTTTCTTCTTTTTTGGTAATGTATTTCCTCTTTTTGGTGAGTGGCTTCCTTACATTGGAAGGCTTTTGCCACCTGAGGTGGCTGACTCATTCTGTGTAAAACCTGCCTTGAAATAAAAAGCTCCTTGCAATTGAAGTGCTGAATTAACCAAAGGCAGGTTAAACTACTTTGCATTTAAGAGCATTCAGTCAGTAGTCTAGCATTTTGTTCCCACAGTTGCCAATCACTTGGAGTCCTCTTCAAGTGCCAAACCAGACATGCTGTTATGAATACATTTAGTAATTCCGTGATGTTAAACAAAGAAACAGCAATGGTGGCAGTGGAGAGTCCACATATAGGTGTCCATTCTGAATATTCATGCTGCAACCATAGCATGTCCTGTCACGCAAATCCAGTAAGGGTTTCACTGGCATAGGTTAAAACCCTAAAACAGCCCATGGCTTCTGGATGATTTGTTAACCTTGGCAACAACCCACCCTGGCTGGGTTCACATGACATGACAAGCTGCTGTTGGGGTTTGAATAGTCAGGTCACCAGGCGTATGCTGTAACCATTGTGGGCTGTTGTGATCCTGCAAATAGGGTTGGTGAGTCTAGCAGGAACCCTGATTTGTACAAATCCGAGGTGTAAGCTGTCCCTGGGTGCAGACCTCTAGTGGCCTGTGCTGGAAAAAACCAACAATATCACCAGCTGGCACAAGAACTAGAAGTTTCCACAAGCTCTACTGACCTCCCCTCATTTGCCTCCCTACTTTGATGTTGCTTGAAACAGGCCATTGCAATAATATGGTTGTTGTGTTTAAGAACATTAGGAAAAACCTGAAATGTCTGGAACTAATTAGGAACCGTGTATTTGTAATAAAATTTTGTTTTTTCTTTGCAGCGGAAATCAACGGCATTTTGAACAGCACCAAACTATCAAAGACTAATAAAGCAAGCTTGTGTTTTTGCAGAATGTTATACGCATTTGATAATGCCCAATTTGAAGAAAAAATATGTACATGCTTTATTTATAGAGAAAAAACGGTTTAGTAAGCCCCCTGCCACTTTTCAAGAGGTCCGTGGCAAAAACAGTGGAGCATTGCTAAACTGGTAAAACTCCTTTTCCTGAAGCAGGCTATGTTAACCTGAAGCACACTGCCAACTTTGCTTGAAAATCGCCAAGGAAGGAAATTCCAGCACTACCAGCCAACGTTTCCAGAGTTGAACTGCTTTTAGGAATTCCCTCCCCCACCCTTTTACTTCCCACTGAGGTGTCCTGGCTGACCCTGTCTCAACTGAGAGTAGTGTGGTGGTTGAAAGCACACTGCACTCTGCCTCCTAAGGGGCTTCCCATCAACTGTAGAAGCAACTCAGCGCTAGAACAAATTGGAGAAGTGTCCTACTGTTCTGTGTGCCCTGTAATTAGAATTTGCAGTTTTTCTCTCTCAGACAACAATTTGTCAGGATCTTGGCCAGACAACACAGTGCACTGCACATTTTAACACATTATGTTGTAGAGAAGAGCTTGCATGCTTCCTTTGTTTCTAGCAGAATACCCTACCATATAAACCAATAAACACACTCCTTGCTGGAAAAAAGGCATATGCCTTGCACTTGAACCACAGCAATTTCAGTGTGTGAATGTGAAGCTGTGATCCAATACATTCTTGACTGAAAATAAATGCCTTTAACTCAGAAGGATGTACTATGCATAACAGTGGGCTGCCAACGCATTTTCTTTTATTTTTTGCGATATGGGAGAAACCAATGAATTGGGTTTGGGATTTTACGGTTCGGTTGCAGAAGGGCACGTGGAAATGTCTGGAAACTTGAACTGCATCAAGAATACTGCCCTACACTCTTCGTGGAAATGTGAGTTTCCAAGAAACTGATTGGTTTGAGTAGGATTCAGACTACTAAACATGGACTTGAGCTTTTCCCATGCACTGGGCCGCTCTTTAATTTTCGTTGGAATCGGAAAGGCCCAACTACAGCACAATTTGATGAAGCGGGTGTGTGTTTGTGTGCAGTGCAAAAATTGGCAGAGCGGTGTGGAATTTAGATGCTCGGTTTTATGATCGTTATTTTTTTTTCTTTCTAAAGGAGGCGAAAGCTTATGCCAAGATCCTGGGATTTTATTTCGTTATTTTCGTGCAGGCGTCGGCGGGGATTAAGGGGAGGGGGGGCTTTGCAGCAGGTGGATGCGGCTAGCGGGCTGAAGGGGGAAGCCTCGGGTTTGAGGAGAAGTGGGTGGATCTCCTAGAATCCAGTAGGATCCGGCAAAATCCAGCTTTTACCCACACCCACCGAGTGACCCCCCACACAAGACAACGCAGCCGCGCTGAGCCAATGTCAGGCGGTTGCTGAACAGGGAACGGCGGCGGCAGGAGGAGGGGGAGCAGAGTGTGAGCGCGCCTGCCTTGTGTACCCGGCATGTAAACAATACATGGAAGTCGCCTAGTAATGCTAAGGCGGGGAGCAGCCCAAGGTGCCACCGGGGCGCCTGGAGCATCCCCCAACTAACCCCTTCCTTCCCCCTCACCAGCAGGGCCGGCTGCCCAGTTTCCTAGAGGGAGATCGAGGGGAGAGGAATCGGATATAGTCTCACGTTGCGGAGGAGGCGGAGGGCAGCGGGAGGAGGCTGAAGGCAGCCGCCAGGGCAGAAGAGGATGGATTTCCAGCAGCTGGCTGACGTTGCGGATAAATGGTGCTCCAACACCCCCTTCGAGCTCATCGCCACCGAGGAGACGGAGAGGAGGATGGATTTCTACGCCGATCCAGGCGTTTCCTTTTACGTTCTCTGTCCTGACAACGGCTGCGGGGACAATTTTGTAAGTAAAGTGGCGCAGGCGGGGTGGGGGGTGGGGAGAGAACCTGCCGTCTGGGGCAGCGATCGGATGGGGACGAGTTCTCGCTTTCGGTTTATGCCGCTGTTGCTTTCCTTCAGACCAGTGGTGGAGAGATGGAGGAGAGCTCTCTGCTCCCCGCTTTCGGGGGTGGGATGGGATCCTTCTAGCCTTGGCCCTCTCAGCCCTTCCCCCTTGCAGCCCCTTTGCTCTGGCTTGCTTCCTTTGGTTTGGCCAGACTTCTTTCCCATAAAAAATACCTAGTTGGATTGTCACCTGCTGCCTGCTGGGCCGGGGGCGGGGATGAACCTGAAAGGTTAAATTGTCAACTGTGAGTTTGTTACATTCACCATGGCCACCCCAGCCATAATCATTTGCCTGCAACGGATTGATTTCCCCCACAACGCACCCTGCTTCGCCCACTCCAACCGCATCTGGAAGGAGTCTCCGGCTGCTTTGCCTGTTGTCTATCTGCAGGGCATCCTTTTACACTGGTGGGCACGCAAGTGGCCCTCACTTGAGCTCTGGGACATCTAGTAACAGAAGAGTGCCTCTGAGCTTATGCAGAGGGCCTTGTGGCATGTGACTGTAGCCATCGTTAGGATGAGGAGAATTTGGGTGGGAGGGTTTCCGTAGCAGATTAGCAGTGCATCCAGCTAAGCTTGAGGGCAGACAGGGTTTCATTAGGAAGCACCATCCATGGGGACTGGCCTGGACAACCTGTGACCCTCAATCCAGATGCAGCTGCCAGAGAACCCCTGTTAGGGCAGCCTCAGACAGGTGGTAAAACTGGGAGTTCATTGAATCCCATGTTCTGCATCATGGCCATGCTGGGTTGTCTGCTTCTTTGAGAGCCGTGGAGCTTCAGGGAGGAAAGTGATGCCTCAGGTTCTCTTTTGTTTTGTAAATGTTGAGCAGACGCCACCCTTCTCCCACCCTCTCCAGGAAACGCTAGGCCTTGCAGGAGAGGGATAGAGGATGCCTGTTGTTCTTGTCTTGTGTTTACCTGGGCGGGGGCAGTGAGTGGAGCGTGGGACCACCGCAGGCTTCCCTCTCCCATCCATGGTTTGCTACGTAAGGGATCTCATTGCAGGCCTGAGTTTCCAGAGGAAAGGCACAAGGACAGAGGGGGCGGGGATCACTTCCTACAACAGAGAGTAGAAGAAGCAAGTGTTTCAGTGGGGAGGGGGTATTGTAGGAGGGGAAGGGTGGAGGAGAATGCATAGCCTAATATCTCTACTGCCGGTTGCAATAATTTGCAAATAATTTCCAAAACTGCAAAATGGAGCCTGTTCTCTGTGACCACTGGTAGGTCGGCCTGAAGGGAAAAAATGCTGGGAAGTGGGATGAGCTGAGATCAAGTGCCCACAGGTAGAGGAAGGATATTCAGAGCCTCTCTCTAGAAGCTGCTTATCTCTCTGAAATGCAGGTGCCAAACCTTGGGGGGGCAGTGGAGTTTAAGCTTCCCCCCCTTCCCTCACCAGTTAGTTTTGCTAATAGCTTGTGCTTAAATGAATAGCTATCACCTCATCCCCCCTTTCCTGCATTGGAGGTGGGCTTTTCCGGCTGTCCCAGCAAATGGAGAATGTGTATGGATAAAATGGAGTCAGGCCCTTGTCCCCTTGTAGCAGCTTCCTTTCTGTGTTCCATTTAAGCACCCTCACGGGCTGGCCTAAAACAAATAGATTTTTTACCCTACTTGGCCTGGAAAATTAAGGCGCGTGGGGGGAAGGACTGCTTCCCCCACCCTTCTTGTGTCTTGGTCATAGAGTAACCTGGTAGGTGATGGCTTTTGCTGATGGTGGCGACAGCCATCCCTCGCCTACACATTCAAGTCCAATGAAATAGTTAAATGCCTCAGAATAGTTAGAGAAATAAATGCCTCTTACTTTCCAAATTGGATGACTTAGATGAGATAGAAACATGAAGTTAAAAATGGGCTTCTTGAACCTGAGTGGTCCTATAAGGTTTGAAAGTTGGATACATGTAGAGCACTGCAGACATACATTCTTGTATGAAGGGCCCACCGTTTGTCTTCAGGGTTGACCTTTCCCTGCCACCCCTACTGTGGCAATTTGAACAACAGCAGATTAAAAGAAGCACAATTGAAAAATTATTATTGTAAAGGTATTTATAGGGTATTTGTATTCACCCCATTGCCACAGGCCTGCTGTGGGCCACTACCTCAGTTTCACTGTAAAACTCTTGTTATATAAAGTGTACTACCATGTGAGGACTGCATTTGTGACCATGACCCAGAGGCCACGTAACACCTGGGACCCCAGCTGAAGCACAGATAAATCCTGCATTTTGTTCTGCTTCCGTTTTAGGTCATTAATTAGAATTATATTTCTCCTTTCCTTCAGGGAACCCAAGGCGGTATGTTTACGGTCCCCTTCTTGGCTGTATCCTCATAACAGGAAGCCAGTGTGGTGTACTAGTTAAGAGGATGGGACTGAGACTCCCGCAATCCGGGTTCTAGTCCCTACTCAGCCGCGGAGCTCACTGGCGCCAAAGAGTCTCAGCCCGCCTACCTGAAATGGTGGTTTTTGTAAAGATAAGGTTCAGAGGGTTGGAGAATAATGCAAGCTGCCTTGAGTTCCTTGAAAAGAAAAAAGGCAGGATATAACTATAATAAATAAATAAACAACCCAGTTAGGTTAGTTACACTGAGAGACAGTGTGTGGCCCAAGGTCACCTGCTGAGTTGCATGGTTTAGCAGGGATTTGAACCTGGATCTCCCCACTGGTTCTTATTATGCTCTTCAATTCCTGGTTGTCCTCTAAAGGGCTGATCTTGGATAATGAAGAAGCTGACATAATGAATACAAAGAATTTAGGAATCGGAGAACCAGTATGATATAATATTGCAGTGGTGCTGACAATTCCTATAACCTCTGGCCTTGTTGGCTGCCACTGTTGGGAGACTGAGTCCAACAACACCTGGGAAAATGGAGTCTGGCAATGTCTGGAGGGCAGCAGGCTCCCTGCCCTATATTGGAGAGAATGTGGGACCTGGGGTGGTAAGGGCCGGGGGGACATTGATTAGGAACATAGCAGTTACCTTATACTGGGCCAGACATTTGGTTCCCTGCCAATAATGTTTTCCACTGACTGGCAGATGCTCTTCAGGGTTTCTGGCAGAGTTTTTCCTGCCTTGCTTGTAGAAGTCATGGATCAAACTTCAGGACTTATATATGGAAATCAGACCCTTTTCCAAGAAGTTCACTTGGTGGCCTTGGGAGAGATATTATCATTCAGCCTCATTGTATCTCATAGAGTTGCAATGAGGAACAGGTGAATGATCTCAGATATGCGTTATGAGATAAATAATAGACTAAAGGGAGAAACTCTGTAAAATATAGTAGCAAATACAGAGTCTTTGCGAACAGTTCTTGTAACAATAAGAGTTTCATATGGTGCCAGGGAGGGGGGACATGAATAGAAGATTCCTCCCACATCTTTGGGCTTTGCTTTTTAGCGCAGATTGAGACCTTGCCAATTATCCTAGCCTAGTTTTTAGAACTAATTCCCAAAGAGATGAGGTACTCATGTGCATGTCTGTGGAATTAGGTAATTTTTTTCAAGTCCTGGATAGTATTCTCAATTATGTCAGGGCTTTTGCAGGGCAATAGCAGAAAGCAAGTACAAATGTTACTGCATTGATAATGGCATCATAATGTATAGTTCTATTTAATGGGCTGTGCTTTGTGAAGTTAAGTTGAAATTTTTGCAGCTGTAGCTCTGCTTAATGGAAACCAACCTTCACCTGATTTCTGTATGAACTAGGACTTCACACTCAGCTAGGTTTGCTATTTTTTGAAATTATGTTTTTTTTAAAGGGAGGAACTAGTGAATAGACCTTTGAGCATCAGAGTTCATTGCATACATCAATGAAGCCTGAAATTGGAGGCCAGTGCCATTTTTGTGGGTGCAGTGGTGGAGTCTAGTAATTTTTGGCAAGTCCAGTGGACTCTGGCAAAAACCTGGTGCCCTCCAGGAACTGTACTATAATTCCTATAATTCCTGACTGTTGGTCATGCTAACTGGGGCTCATGGGAGCTCTGGTATGAAACAGCCCTGGGGGACTGGCTTATCTAACCCTGCTTTTACCGCCTATAATATTTTTTAAAAAACCAAGAAGAGAAAAAACAGCTTTGTTCAGTGCATTTCTGGATATTTCTGGAGCTGTTTTAAAGCAAAAAAAAAACCCAAACCCAGCCACATTTTGTTTGGACTGGCAAACAATCTTATATTCAGCAGTTGATTATTTTAATGTAAGGGCTGCTTCATGCATTGTTTCTTAAAAGGTACAGATGTGAAGACCTTTGTCTAGGTGCTGATTCACATCATAGTTTTTTAAGCTCATAGAAGGCTGCCTGATCCCAGGTTAGACCATGGGTCTGTTTAACCCAGTATTTTAGACATGGACCAGCTGTGGCTCTGTAGGATTGCTTCCTAGTCCTGCGTGAAGATACAGGGAACAAAATTTAGGACCTCTGTATGGAAAGCACATCATCTGTCATTGAGCTAAGGCCTCCTTTTCATTGGAAATTGGGCAGAATTACCTAGTGCTGCAAATGCTTTGTGCATGTTTACTTATTATTAGATTTTTATTTATTAAATGTATATCCCACTTTTTTCTTACAGACTCAAAGCGGCTTACTTAATTCTCCTCCTGCTACTCTCAATCTTATCCCTACAACAGCAACTTGGTGAGGTACTTGGGCTGAGAGTTGTGACTGGCCCATAGTCATCCAGTTGTCTCCATGGCTGAGCAGGGTCTGTTACCTAGGTCACCTTAGTTCCAGTCCCTCTCTCTTAAGCACTACACCACTCTGTCTCTAAAATGTGTCCAAAATGTTGCTTAAACATTGCATACATGCAGCACCTTTGAGCTGATTCACACCTGCAAGTTCACCACTTGTTATTCCCAGCTTGGAATTTGTGGAGCAGCCCTGTTTCTCCCCGGTCCTCCTTCTCTTT